CAAACCAAACGGTTGTCAAGTATAAAAAGGTTTTATTATTACAGTAATGTAAGCTAATAACCAACTGGGGCATTAATATTCCAATTAATTACTGAGTCAAATTGACATTCTCGAAATGACATACCTTGAAAGCAGCAAGCATAAGAGCTGTCTTCCCGGCAGCGTTTTCATTTTCCAGTTGGGCCTTATATTTAATAAGAACATCGAGAAGCCTAAAATTTTAGACAATTTAACAAAAAGACAAATGAGGTAATATTGTGTCTAACCCTTTCAAATTAAATTTACCGTCAAAGACACGCTTTTCTTAATCAGAGAATTTGTTTAAACGTGCTTAAAATGTGATACTTCAGAACAAGGGACCACACAAATTGGTACCAAAAATTCATCCTAATGAAAAGTGAATAGGAGTAGCTAGGTGGTTGAATTAGCTAATGGGGTTGCAGAAAAAGAAAACAATCCGTACGTTTTCAGTTGTTTAGGGCGTTCAGCTATAAAACTATCAAAATATACTGCTTCGTCCTATTTAAAATATAGACGTAAACATTTACGTTAGCAGGCAAATCTGGAACATAAAAAATGAAAATTATGTGAGCTTCTCTGTCAGTTGTAGATACTAAAAGTGAAAGAGTATCCCTTTTGAAAATATTTTATCGCTAAGCTACTCTGTTTCATCCGGCTCCACTTGAACAGAAAGCCATTTTTTCTAGAAAAAAAAACATTCTAAAAATAGATATTTCAGAAGGGCAATTGGCAAGCATTCATAAGCTCTTGATAAATGATCATCTGACCATTACATGTATATGTGAACGGGGTCAAAGGTTAATATGCGGTCAGTTATGTTCGATATTTCATGAATATAAGTCATAGGAATAGAGGGAGGGGTTGAGCGGCGACCCTTGCAAACTGTTCATCTGAATCCTCAGATGAACCTTTTTGCAACTTTAAAATGGAAACTTATTTAACCAGTTGAAAAGCAATCATAATTCTAGCAAAAAGTACTGTTCTCGTTGTTAAGAAAGGATTTCGCAAAAGGTTTGCCTAATTCGTTTACGTCTATTCTACGGATTGCTAACAGGCGCCAATTGAAAAACAAATGAAGAATTAATGAATGTTGAAGAAAGCAAAACAGAAGACGATATTTGGTCTAACTGAACATACACAAATTGTCCCTTATTGGCACAGACCGTAAGTGGAGTAAACCCCAGCATATCCTGCGTTTCGATGTTCGCTTCGCTAATTAATTGAAAATAGAAAACCAAAACGATTAAAGATAGTCCATCTTTGGGATATATTTCATAAGAGATAGAACAGTAGATGCGTTTTGCATTGTAATGTTCTTGTTAACAATAAAGGAGTTTTCAATGTTAAGCATGTGATGCGTTGGATATAAGTCCGTTTAAAAAAAGTCATATTTCGATTTTCCCCAGATAAATTAGCAAACAAATTCATTTTGTACAAGGTGTGAATAGGAATTTTTACGTTTACAAACAAATATGGCTGGAGGCCATACGCCAAAGTGTTATACCAAATACAATCATATCCTAATTGTAGAATCAATAATCAGGGACCTGATAAGTCACTGGTCGCAGATAAAATAGCACATATAACAGTAAAAATAATCAGAGGTTTTAGTCCTATTGAAAGCACGCGTTGAGGCTTAAGATATAAACAGGCGATTTTCGATTTCATTTGGCGCAGAATTCGGTTGTCTTGTTGTAGTTTAATTATCTTGAATAAGGCTAACTTACTCTGTTTAAGAAAGCTAATGCGGCCGGTTTCTGAGCGATAGACAGCTCAAAGTCAACTTTTAAAACAGCATATTGTGCAGTTAACGCAACAAATAAGGTGGTTTTCAGAGTACAGTCAGAATGCGATGCCTGCACTGTACGTAATGCAGTATTCTAATTGTCTGAAGCCTTTTGGCAATAGAGCAATTAATATTTCAAACGCCAGATGTCGTCCTTTGCATTTAGTTTACATTATGTTACATGTCACTGTAAACTTTCTGATAAAATATGGGGTTTTGCATGTAGTACGCCATTGCATAGATTAGAGGACCTTGGACTTCACCTCTAAATTTACGAATACGAGTGTTTATCTATGCTCCATGTGGGTTTTTCTGGTTAAAAGGATACTGTGATGTAGGTACCGACACCAAAAAGTTGTCAGATATTAAACGCTTTTAAACAATAACGTACAATCAGTCATTTACCGTAACCACACACTATCTACCGGGAAACCCATTGATGTCTATAACCGTTTGCACGACTATACAGAAACGATCGAGAGCACTCTGGAAAATGCCTTCTTACACGAGAGGAAAGCTTGTGGTAAAGTTTTTATTGCTATTTATTTCACAAGTGCTTGTCCCTCCTCTATAAGCTAGGCCAATCGGTACATTCAATATGTTTTGTGTCTGTTTTGAATAAGAACGAGGGAAATTAGGCATATGTTCAGCAAGAAAAAACAATTCACATTTGGGACGACTTGTCAGTAGTTCCTAAGTAAGTAACTACTTTCTTCCTTTGCTTAAACAAATCACAGTTTCACTTAGGATAATCCCCACAGATACTAATATAAATGTGACGTACTCGTGGCGAAAATACAGTTTGTCTTTTTAGAAGTGGGAGCGATTACTGAACAAAAGGAGGATAGTTGAACAGGCTCAGACGTCTCCAAAAAAGACATAATAAATTACTGTTGAGCTTTTGGCATAAACTGGGGAAGGCTTCGTATTTTTGGCAACTGACTAAATTTATAGTTGGTTATCTGTGCTTCGGTTTAAAAATTGATGCACGTTGACCTTTTTCACAATTTCCTGTAATATGCCAATCCATTTTCCTCCATTGTCAGCATCATTTTTTTAAAATTCTATTTAAAGTTGTGTTTAATTGTTCTTTATATAAATACACGAGAATTCTATGGTACGTTCACCGTCTTCATTCGAGACGACTTACATTTCTTAAGGCGCATACACATGTTGCTCTTAACTGAATTTGAATTGTATGGAATATGGATATCTAGCTACCATATTGTTGACAGTTGAGAAACGGACATTAGTAACTGCGATAAACAGACACTCCAGATATAAATATGGATTCTTCACTTTTTGTTAGATAATGCTATATTTCTAGGAAGGCTGAAGTTAAGCTTAATGGAGTAACGTGAAAAACATAAATAATATGATACTAGTGTCTAGGAAGAACCTCAGTTTATGCACAAAATCTTTTTTATAGTATTAGGAAAATGCTCACCTGCATTATAAAGCCTCTGGTAGTATTTACTGCTAAACGACCGAAAGATCGGTATTTCGACATTTCTATTACGTTCGCTAACTTTTTACAACTTTATCTAAATGAAAATGTTTCAGTTCGACTAAAGGCAGTGATTTTTGCTGGCGCATGCTTCCTGACGGTGAAATAAATTACTGTATGTACGATGTTATTTCTAATCCAAAAATTGCGACATTTAGATTTCACAATATCTCCGTTTAACAAAATTTTTAAGATCTTAAAACTCGAGTACTTCAACGACAAAACATGCTCCAGTTCTGTTATGCTTCCATGGCGGAGGGCACGATGAATTGAATCTCCATATAATGGTTCTCCTATACTGAAGATAAGAACTCAATCGCGGTTTACTTGTGGTAGATAGAGACAGTGAATCAGACCAGTCAGTATATCCTTCAACAGTTTTAAAACGCAAACGATATTCATATGCAGTGGAAGGCTCCAGCTCGTCATCAATGTGTGCACTCGAGTAACCACTAGAGTTTCATCGCCTCAAATATACCGGCAAACTTGTAAACACGTTCCCATTTATCTGAACTTGACATGCTTCGCTCTAATTCGGCAAGAACTGGATTTTTTCGGTCATTGTTGAAACACAAATTAAGCTTTTGCAAAAACTCTTCCCAAGAAACAGTTACACTGGCATGCGATGCAGCATAAAGAATTGGTTTTGGTGGCTTCGGATGATTAAATGTCATTTCGTGATAATCAAAAGTTATGTTCCATAAGTAATCAAAGGGATACCTATGTAGTGCATTTAAACAATTGTGTTTACTTGGAAAAATTAAGTGTAGTAACTCCGTCTTCATTATTTCTTCAGTGAAGAAGAGAATGTCAATAAAAGGCACATCACCGCCTTCATAAGTAGGTAAGAAAATCAGGTTCAGTCGTCATGATGGATCGGAAGGACTGAAATAGATATAAATAAATAAAATTTATATTTCAGGCCCGGAGAGCCTCGTCATTGCACACTTAGTGCTTTGGAAAAATTATCACAAAGTTGATAAATGCTGCTTTTATTCAGCAACCACGAATAGGATTGATTGTAGTGCAATGAGACAAGACTGTCGATGAGAACGTATGAGGGTTGGAAACACTTATTTTCGTTAGAGAAATCATATAGCAGCAGAGGCTACCGTCCACAACCGTAACACCGCCCGACTGGCTTCATGATGAGCTATCAGGGAGGTGCAAACATATTATCCTTCACCGACATTATGTCTTTCAAAAATCCTGGCGGTCTGAAAACGTGGATGACAAAAATTGGCACTACCCGGATATCATTTGTTCCTAAGACGTCAAGGCGATGTTATGATTTACATAAACCAACGAAAGCTGAGATTAACAAAATTATTAGAGAATCCGCTTTTTTGGCAGCATAACTGATGATTGGGAATGGTTCAGTGAGTTATTGCATACTTTCCTCAGAAACCTATGTCCGATTTCACGGAAGAATCCAGACATCCGACCCCTGCGGACCACTCAGGCACTGAAGGAAGAAGTAAATGAAAAGCGGAGGTTGGGGATGGAATCTCTCGTAGATAGCAATCCATATCCAATAATGCGTAAATAGCACAGAGGAGCCTCGTGAAGTGACTTATCAGTAGCATGCGCCAAGATTTTGAAAAAGATTTAGAAAACCGAATAGTAACGAATACGAAATTATTCTATGGCGACTTAGGAACAAACATACGAATCCGGGACCCAGTTCCCTTCTGAAGGCAAGCGACGAAATACAAATTAGTGAGGGTGGAGCGAAAGCTGAGCATCTCTCACATTTGAAAGCGAATGCATCATTCCCAAATATGGTTTGGACGACGATCGAAAGACTGATCATGCACCTTTTGCCGAAGAGACTGTTCATCAGGAGTTGTTGGCGCTAAATGTCTCGAAATCGCCTGGTCCAGATGATATTCCACACAAATTAGTAAAAGAACTTGCTGAGGAGCGAGCTAAACCACGTTTCATGGTTTTCAATACCTCGTTCGAAGTCGGCTGTTTACCTGCCGATTGGACATCTGCACGGATCGCACCGTTTTATAAAGGCGGCTGAAAGTTTTCCACAAACGATTATAGACCAATCAGCCTTACTTCAATCCGTCGCAAGATTATGGAAAAAGTAGTCGGGCGAGAGCTGATATGATTCTTAGAGCAGCATAACCTACTATCAGATACGTAGCATGGATTCCGTAGAGGCACGTCCTGCGTGACACGCTTGCTCCGTTGTTACGCAGCTTGAGCCCGGGCAACTGATGGAGTTAATGCGTTTCATCTAGTCTATATTGACTTCAGGAAAGCATTGGATAGTGTCCCACAAAAAGGAACTCTGCACAAACTCAGCCGAACAGGTGTTAGACGAAGTGTCCCAAAGTTCACATTTGCCAATGTTACTTCCTATTTTAGAGTAACACATTTGTTTTACATAGTTTAACTTGAAAATTTTTACAGAAAGTTTCTAATAAGGTCTTAACAGATTATGTCTATGACACTAAATGCACTGAAATGTGTTAAAGTATTGACGTAACAATTTATTTTGTTTCGTATACTGTGTGAAACGTTTTAAACGCGTGTGTATCATTGTTAAGATATTTTCTCTAAAATTAACGGACTAAAAATACGCAGTTACGCACCTTGGGAAAGATTAACCCCAACCTGACTTGTTGAAAAGCATGGAAATCATATACACACAAAGAAAATGCTTTAGTCCATCGTCTGAATGCTATTGGGTCATATAAAATTGAGCACTAAAAATCACAAGGTTCCTTTTTCAAATTTGGTGTGCACTTCGATCATTTTCCCGTTCGCCTTGATGTGCGACGATGAGCGTACGCAGTATTTTTTTTCACGACCTGCCTAGTGAATTCTGTCAGGAAAAAAATGTTAAGCATGCACTAAAGTACGAATTTTTTCGATGCACCACCCATGTGTTTGTGATGTAGAATTGTTTTTGGAGGTGGCTGATAACCTACATGGACTCCCAAAATTTGGATTTTTATCGATCTTCCCCTAGGGACGACCAACTGTTACAAGCTGATAAGATATTTGCAGTATTGAACTAGCTATTTCGATTGTTTGGCTTTAGTGTTACCAGTGGCCTTTTTGGCTAAGTGGGTACCTGTTGTGCCCATAAATCCAAACGACTGCTGGGCAGCTTTTGCATTCAAGAGCTACTGAGAATAGCCAGTTAATCAGAACGCTATGCACCGAATAACTGTAGGGACTGGTCCTGGGTGAGTGTGATGTTATAAGTGTCTCTGACGACAACACATTATTCGTGAATAAGTAAGTTTTTCCAAAAACGCCTAGCAGTTGAAAAATAGAGTAGATTCAAGGCTATACTTGGGGCACAGTTTAGCAAAAAACGAGCTGTCACTTAGAAAAATAAGCGACACAGCTGAGTTATTCAGCTTTAGTAGATGACCGTCCTAATGTTAAACAAACTAATTAGTCTCTGGCGCCGAAGGCTCACTCGTTTGACCGCATTTTTCTACGGTAACTTGTAATATAGGCCGGTAGGGGGATGTATGATAAAGGTGCTCTTCATGGCTTTCAGGAATGCCCTGGAAAAACGGATCGATGGAAACTACACAGTATATAAGTATTCTAATTTTCTTGTGCCACTTTCTCGCCCTGGATTATGTTCTTTTAAAATGTCCCAAATGTATTTGTATTTAGCCTCATCGAAAAACATTTTTATAAGTCTATTTTAGGGAATTATTTATTACTTGATTTTTAAGGAGCTTGGCATAAGTCTTCCTTTTTGGAGCACATATCTCCGAAACGAGTTCTCTCATATTGTACTTGTAGGCGATAAAAAGCGAAAGCTAGCTGAAGTTAGCATTTTTACTGTTTATGGGTAACAAGATTAACTATAGCACGTTGGCTGGTGAACTTCAGGACAAATTTCCCATTTCACGCTCTTATGACAGCGGCAACCCGTATGCCGCGTATTACTGTCTCTATATTGTCGCATTTCTAACAGTTCTGGGCACTTGAGAAGTATCGGAACGCTTTCGGAGTAACATACCCATGCATCGATTTGATCTGAATTTTATACCCAGTAGTCTTTATCTCAGTACAACAAGCACTGAGAATTATACATAAAATCTGTCTTCTTTTTCTTCTCCCGCGAAGGTGTCGTCCGTAGCCTTCTCTCACCTTTTTGTTGTTCCCTAGCATAATTTCCTCGGAAGACGTAAATTAATAAATCACAGATCCAAGAGGGAAAATGTTTATCATCCACTTTTCTAAATAAGCTCATTGTTGCCCTAGTGGTCATCTCTTAGCTAAGGTGCTTGCAAAAGTTCAGTGTATCTACCCTCATAACTATGGACCTCGGAGTTGACTTATCAGTTTTCGCTCGTGAGTTCGAAGAACAGTTTTGACTAACATGATAGTTTCAGGCTAAAAACTTAATTTTCTCTACATTATAATCTTCAAACTGACTCCGGCAACCATCACAATATACGACGAATATCACCATTCTCAGCGTCAGTTCCTACAAACCATCGCAACGTGACTGCATGTTGTCTAAAAAGGTTTCGCCAGAAAACTCATGCGAGCTGTTGCGAAGATCAAACATACTGTAAAGCTTGTCTATAGTTCTTTATTCATTCTCAAACCTTTTTAAAGCATGATCTCGAAATCTGTGCTGCTGATTTATTACCCAAAATATTTTTAACGTCAGGTCCTCACTGTCTCTTAATACTCGTACTTGTTACGGCTAGGATCATGCCTGATCTAGCCGGCCTCACTGCGACTACGGACGGTACCTCTCCACGTCTGAAGATTGGCGGCAGCGGATATGGAATGCTCCACCCCATCACCTCTCCAGCGGCGCAGACCGAACATTGAAGGTCCAAGAACCGCTTCCATGTGTTTAAAAACGGTGTCGAACCAAGTCTTGGGTTGCTCACCTCTTCGACGGCTCCAGCTGGGCTGCGGCGTCAGATCAAAGGCAGCGTATGAAAGCTTGCGAGGTGGATGACGGAGAACGTGCCCAAACCACCTTAGTTGTCTTTATTAGATAGTCTGGGATATTCTTGTTATGTTGTCGCAGCGAGTGCGGACTGTCTTATTTAAGACGAGGTCGGTATACTTCACTCAAAGGATGGTACTCAGGCAGTGGTGGTCAAATACCTCAAGTCTTCATTCATCTTCCACGCCTAAGGTCCAGCATTCAAACCAATAGAGGAGGACTAACCAGGCCGATGCACGGTACGCACGGATCGTCGTGGCGATGGAGATGTCGCGTCGGATCCGTAGGCGCTTTCGGAAGATTGAGAAAACCCGGCAAGCAACATCGATTTCGGAGACACT